TTAATGTTTTTTTTACTTAGACTACGTTTTAAGTAAAGTACAAACATATGGAACTTTCTGCTATAGAGACTGTTTGTTTTCCTCAAGAAAAATCAATTTTTCTCTCCAAAAACCATCCTCAGAGTTCAAGAATATGAATAACAGTTTGGTAACGAATTGGTACACCTTCGAGGTTTGTGCTTATCAACATATTTTGCGATTTATTTTTTATATAGATTCCAAGGGAACAGTTTTTACTAATAATTTCAGATATTAATGCATATATAGGGGAACCGCTGGATATTAAGAATTTATATTATACTTTTTACACACTGATAAGTTTTTCCATTCAATATTACCTCCAGGAGAACGCCATGTAATAGAAAAAAATAAAAACTTTTATGCGAATGTCTTTGCAGACGATTTACACGGAATAAGCGAAAGTATTACAGATGAAAATATTAACCCAAACTTACCATCGTACTTGTTTTCTTAGAGAAGATCCTTTTATGGTTGGATATCAAAATGCGTCTTCATCAGATTTAATCTCGTCAGAAAATCTGCATGCCGTGACCTTCAATATCAGTTCAGCTTTAAATCCTTTAAATACCTTGATATCAGATCTATAACTTTTTCCACAATCGATTTCCCTGGCTGTTGACAATTAAAGACCAACACCTATGCCATCACCAGCAAAACCCTATGGTGAAGCATGTAACGATTTTTTTGTCCCACTCACGATGATGATATATATACAGGAGTACAGCAACTGTCCCTCAATCAAAACAGTTGTGTATTCATTTCAGTTGATTCCAGACTCTTATTCGATGTAGACGTAAAAAACGTGTCCAGAATTATGATGATTGGAAAGACGTTACTAGAGTTACTGACTTGAAAACACCCAAAACGAGAGTAATTCTGTCCACAGTGTTATAGAAAGGGCTTCTGACACAAAACAATTTATACAGCAGATAATGGAAATTATTTGTACGTTAGGCTAAAGTAACGGGTGATTCTTATGAAATTAGTGACGTAAATCAGTCATTAGTGTTTAATTTTAAAGATCCGGTAAAAAATAAGAACTGGGTTAAAATACAGCTAAAAACAAAGTTACTTGGACAGGCATAAAAGAAGTTTGTGTTGAAGGGACTGAGAGCAATAAAATTCGATACAAATATGCTTAATCTGAAAAATGAACGTTATGGCCCTTTTGCTTAGCAAGAATACTAGAAATTACAAAACTCCAGCCATAGACAAAGCTTATAAAGGTCCAATTCCAATCAGTAATGATAAATATGAAGATTTTATTAGTATATGCAGATCATCAATAATACCTGCAAAATACCATAACTTTTTCAGAAGTTAAACTCATGGACGTAATATTACTGATGACGGCAATGAGTCTGACTGAATAATTGTGTAAAAGGTTGTTTTTTCTTCATATTTTTACTTGATTTATTGTTTATTATTTTTATCTCGGAAGAATGTGATTTTTAAGAATTTATTAATTTTAATAAATGTCGTTTCTTTTGTAATTATATACTTATGATAGATATGAGAATGATTGTGATACTTAAACATGATTATTGTTAAGTTTTAGGTTAGTAATTTACCAAAACATTAATTTATGTTTTATTAAAATTTTAATTTATCCCATCCACATAGAGTTTACACTATAGCGTCTGCTTAGTCTCTAAGAGTAATAAATGAAATCTATTGATTACATTTTCTTAATATAAGTATCACGTAGAATAAAGAAAGTACGACCAATTAGGCTGTGTTTGTGTTAGGCATCCTTATAATCCGTCAAAATATTACTCAGTAAGTTGATATAACTTGATGGTAAAGTAACTCTCGTCTTTCCTTCAAGGAATAAAGTTGGATAATACTATGTGACTGTGTTAACTCCAATGTAAAACGAAGCATGTGATTTTTTCTAGAAAACTGTATAATTTAATGCTATTATTTCTATTTTGTTTCGAAACAAACGCTTTTGTTTGCTTGTATGCCAATTTTCGTAATAACAGGACATAGATTAAAAAAGTTATGACAGAAAAAGTAACATGATAATTTGAAATGGCTGGCCTGTAAAGTTTTCTATTTGTCAGATCCGGCACTATTCTACGACTATGACGATATATTAATACAATAATTAACAATAAATTAATAGAAAATTAAAACAAATTTAAATTTTGATCCCGGTGCTAGACTTTTAATGGAATTTCCTCTCTGTATTGCGATACTTATTCTAAGCACTAATAGTTAATCAAATTAATTTACTCTAAGTAGACTTTGATTATGTCAAAATCAAAAATCGATAATTTATTTTTTATTTTTTAAAGACAATTCACACCAATTGACCTAGTCCCATGCTAAGCTGGTGAAGCTTGTGTTATGGGTACTAGGCAACGGATATACATACATATTATAGATAGACATATAAATACATATTTAAACATCCAAGACCTAAGCACAACACCAAATACTCATCGCATCGATGTTTATCTCAGCCGGGGATCGAACCCGGGACCCATGTATAGTCAGGGGTACTAACCACTAGACCAATGAGTCGTCAATTAATTCAAATCAAATTAAAACACTATATCGCTTTCTAAATCTTTTAATAAGAAATAAAATATTATTATCTCTGGATCTACTTGATAATTCTTTTAGCTAGAGAAATCCACGTTATTTATCTTATTGACTGTATTAACCCAATACAAAACCTGTCGTGGTAGTCGAATTGGCAATTCCTTAAGAACGCTGCATTAATCTTGGGGAAGGTGAGTTGTAATCCAGGTGTAGCTTGTGGAGTTGTAGGGGGTTATCTCTGGACCTGGTGAAGCGATTTTAAAAATTCTTTCTTTCTTTTCTAAAAGTCTAAACTACACTAAGATATATATTGGAATATTTTCAAGGTGTGAAAAAGACCAATAAAGATTCCTATATGCTGGGAAAACTATTGAAAACCTATCTCATCCCTGAGGTCGTAGAATCCCGTTTTGGCACCAATGACTCTCTATGTGCGCATTTAACATTCGCTTGTACGAAGGAAAACATCGTGCTACCAAATGAATGCGGGTGGAACCGTTATCACAGCTAGTTAAATAATAAAAACATCAAGATGATAACATCAAAATCGTCCTCAACCATTAATCACAGTAGTAAAAGTTGGAGAAAAAAAATCCCCTTATTTCGATTAGTCGAAGTTTGGCGATAAACATAAATTTACAATAATAGGCTGTATGCGGAAACTGGAGAATGGCGCCCGACTGGCTGGCGCCTTGGTAGGGAGACTATGGAGTGGAGTATTCTTGTACAAATCTTATTCCGTATAGAAAATCAAAATAATATAACGTATTAATATATAAAGTAATGTAATATAACATAACAAAGGAGAAGAAAAAATTGTAAAATTCTGGCAGCGAAGATTTTAACGGTTAGACTTTGCAGACTTTTTCGGAAATAAACACCGACCACACCACATCATGCACAACACAAACCTACCAAGCTACCCAAGGAACGCACTTTCTTCGCCCAACGCTTGTTCTCCTTCAGAGGCTCTTTCTTTAACCACTTTCTTGATTTATACATTCACTAACAAAATTTCTTATGACAAATGGAAGACTACAGAAGAGCCCACGACACAGGGAATCCTCGTGGTGGCTGGTGCACTTTTGAAAGAAAAAACGATTTTTCATTTTCCCTTATTTTTTAAAAGTTATATCCAGAGGTATGTTGCAATAACTGTTACTGTAATGCTAAATGGTTAACAACGTGTGTTGTAAATAATTTTAAACACTTGTGGATATTGATGTCTTCTATAAAACTGTAATATATTGCTCTATTGTCAAGTTTCCGCAGCATATAGGAATCTTTATTGGTCTTTTTCAAACCTTAAACTATCTTAATTTCATACTCTTACTTTTTAGAAATATATAGCCTATGTTTATCAGAGTAACAGATTTAAAGCCTGTTCAATGATAAAATCTTTCTTCTACTTATCTGTATATATGTGCTGTCGGACATATTAATGACTGTTGACTATTTGACTATTTAAAAACCTATTAATTACTTTAAAAAAACACGCTACAGAAAATAGTTTATAAGACATTATAAAAATATAAGCGAAAATTCCATTTTCCACCAACGCATAGTCACTATACACTATTGTTACGTAATGTTAAAAGATTTTCACTTCTATCACCATCCACTAAGCACTATCTAGAAAGAACGGGAAATTCCACTTTATTCCCTTCCATTGAAACCCATTTTCAATTGGGGATAATATATAGATTTTCCGGGAATAACTGTCTGGGTGGCGCCGAGAGTCTGGTCTTGGTTCTGTTTAAAATAACATCTTATATAAATGGAATAAGGTCGACAATTGTATGTTTATATTAAAAGGGCAGGAAAATGTAGCATTGTTATTTACAAGACAAATTCTTAGACCAAATATATACCCGATAATGTTTCGTATACTATATGTAAGTTAAGTATTTACAATATTCTTTACATAGTAATAATTAAATTTCCTTCACTCCATTGGTACACAGCCGAGGTTCTACGTCCTCAGAGATGACAGTCGCTTGCTAATGCCACAACTGAATACAAAACGGATAAATAGACAATTAAAACAAATTTAATAGTTCGGTCCCTAAGCCTTTAATGCTGCCATTTTATTGCGATACTTATTCAGATCTGGATCACCTACCAGGCGCCAACTTCAATATTTAATTTTTTTATAACATAGACAGTAAAATATCTTATCCGATTTATATATTTAATTACACAGATTATAAAAATTTGGCGGGAAATTTAAATGCGTGACTCCGACATCTAAATACTATGTATTCTATTCTTCAAGCAACACCAATTGGCAGAAATTGACACCATAGACTCTCCACACACTATGTATTACGTCTACGCTACAACATAAAGAAATATCAACAATATATTGTCAAATTCTCAATGTCGATTTGATATATTTTTTTTTATTTTAAATTAAATGCGTGAAAATTATGTTATTTTTAAAATTATCGGTGCTGTTTTTTACATGTTGTGGATATGAATACGAAAATTCATATGATGGTAAGATCTGATTACATTTGGTCCTTGATTTCTTTATAAATAGACCTTCTAAGAGAGGATTTAAAACAGTTAAAGCTAAAGAATTGTCTGGTTACTCTTGTAAATTGAATTCTTTCGTAACCTCTGATGCCAAATTCTCATATTATATAAAATTCCCGTGTCAGTGTAACCAAAATTCCGAAACGGACCAATTTTTATGTTTTTTTTTGTCTTTATTCGGGCCGATCTCATTTTTTTAAATTTAAATTCCTCTACAACTACCAACCCACATTTTTCTTTTATCCTTAAAGATGCGGAAAATTGTAATTCGTTCTTGTATTTAAAAATCTTGATTTAAAATTCTTATATATTTTGGACAAAGTATAATCGAATACATCACGTAATTGATACATAAGTAAATACTTTGCTAACATTTGGTATACTTTGGCAAAGTATTTATTTATTAAAACAAATAAACTGGTTGCGTTGCCTCACGATCCTTTAGTCGCTATAACCATTAAAATACATTCGCAAACGTTCCAAATACTTTGGCAAAGTATTTATTTATTAAAACAAATAAACTGGTTGCGTTGCCTCACGATCCTTTAGTCGCTATAACCATTAAAATACATTCGCAAACGTTCCAAATACTTTGGCAAAGTATTTATTTATTAAAACAAATAAACTGGTTGCGTTGCCTCACGATCCTTCAGTCGCTATAACCATTAAAATACATTCGCAAACGTTCCAAATACTTTGGCAAAGTATTTATTTATTAAAACAAATAAACTGGTTGCGTTGCCTCACGATCCTTCAGTCGCTATAACCATTAAAATACATTCGCAAACGTTCCAAATACTTTGGCAAAGTATTTATGTATTAAAAAGGAATGAAATGCGTTTGACAAGTAGCCTTCTGTGCCTGTGGCGCTACAACATTTTTAGGTCTGGACCTCAGATTTCTATATCTGTTTCATGATTTGTCAATTTGTCTATTAGGCAAGTAGGTGATCAGCGTCCTGTGCCTGACACACGCCTTCGTGCTGGGTCTAGGGCACGATACCTCACGATGTTTTCCTTCGTACGAGCGAATGTAATGCGCACATAGAGAGTCCATTGTTGCACAGCCGGGGTTCTACGACCTTAGGGATGATATACACCCTGAAGCCTCTAGGCCAGCACTGCTAAACGATTTAATAATAACAAATCGAGGATATCTTATATATGTTACAGAAATTCCTATCCCCACCACCAGGGCCATGAACACAAAGGTGACACTGAAGACGCTTAACAGGCAAGAGTTGCTTGATGTTGAAGGTAGACCTTTCATGCTATGAATGAAGTTGAAATTTTTTGCCAACTCCAAAAACTGGCAATAATCCCCGTCTATCTTTTAAGTCTGCGAAATGTTTGAAAGGCATGATGTTTTTTTAGAACGTTCTTTTCTCGAAGGACCCTAAGTCGAATTGGTTCGGAAATTAAACGCTAAACGCCTTGAAACCTTAGGCCCAAACATGTCAGACACAGACTGATCTCTGTTCTGGCTTGTGATTCTGTAACTCACTTTTCGAACTCTAACAGATGTTTTCGCAGCGGCGGTCGCGCTCAAATCAGTCGTGAAGCAGTCATTTTACGATTTGGCATTCTGATAAGGAGGCAGCTTGTAGTTTATTGTTAGAGAACTGAAATAAATATTTCGGCAAATAAAAGGCCGGCAATTCACTCGCGAGCCTTCTGGCATTTAAAGTGTTTATTGGTGGAGGTATCACTTAACATCAGGTGAGCCTCTTGCCCGTTTGCCCCATGTTCTATAAAAACAAATCGATTTCAGACGCAATAAAGCAACTGTTGAGCAACGTGAATGCTATCACATCCTCTGAGAATCAAACAGATGTCAACATTTTACGCTTTTTAAGAATAAGAAGAGAAGAATTAACCACGGATGTAACAGACACAACGGAAATGACGGAGAGTACAGTGTCAACTATACCTACAGCCAGGTATGATGTAACTATTGATATATAAAGTAATCTTTGATCTGGTGAAGCGATTTTGAAAATTCCATTAATTTACCAATAGAAAGCCACGTTTCATAGGCTGTCCATATATGAAAAGACTGCCGTGGTAGACTTTGGAAGTTTATTTTTCATTCTTACACACCTCTAAAGATTAAAATAAAAAAAAGTGCGTGCGTACAAAGTACACTTGTCAGAAGTGAAACTTCTTTGGCAAACTAATTTTTAAGTCTTGTTCATATTTATACAACTCTAAAACTTTAGATTTCCGAGACTTAGAGGCAGGGAAAAAGGAAGATATGTTAGGAATTTAATGAATTTAATTGTCATTAAAATATTAAAAGTATCGAAAATTAATACAAATTATTAAAAAAAAAAAAAATTATATCTTCGATAGTAGAATCACGTGGAGTTTTAATTTACATTTCGTCATTTGAGATTTCAATAATTTTTTTTGCATAAAATAGTAATATTTCATAAATTCTCTTTACGAAATTTTAATTTTAAAAATAGAATTTCTAAAAGGTAATTCGCCCTTCTCACAATCGGTCTCAATAGCTCTCTCCCTTTTCTTCAACAAAAACGCTGCACATCTTCGTGACGCTTATATTATTATTATTGCGTTTCATGCGCCTAAAGGAGTTTCACTTCAAAAAAAGAAATCGTTACTTCTGCTAAATAAAGTCAACCCTCTTGGGTAAGGTGGAAAATCGTCATAAATTGTGTTATAGTCAGCTTAAACCCGAAACACTTAACATCAGGTTAACCTATATATATATATACTAGCTGATCCGGCAAAGGTCGTTTTGCCATGTATATCATTTATAATAAAAAGTAGGGGTTGATCGTAGAGGGGCGAAAATTAGGGGTTGTATGTATTTTTTTATGGTGTATCATAAAAAAATTAAAATTAAAAATTATCTAAAAATAAAAAAATAATAATTTAGGGGTGGACTACCGTTAACATTTAGGGGGATGAAAAATAGATGTTGTCCGATTCTCAGACATACCCAATATGCACACAAAATTTCATGAGAATCGGTCAAGCCGTTTCGGAGGAGTTTAACTACAAACACCGCGACACGAGAATTTTATATATTAGATATATTTATATTTGTGTAACGTATATGTAAAATAGAAGCATTACTATGTATTTCCTTATTGACGTTCATAAGTGTACATTGTGTTACCTATATGATTAAATATTTTTTTACTTTTGACTATAATATATACAGATATCCAATCGATGTGCCAGCTCTTCTGGAGCTTATTGCAGCTCTTGCAGAGGATTATGAGTCGAACCTAACGCAAAAGCTGAACGAATCACTTGCTCTCATGTCCATACCAACATGTGAGACGTTTACCACTGTAAGACATACAACATCCGAGTACGACGCCAACGCAACGGGCAGTGTTATTGCTAAGGTAATTGGAGTCACTATTTCAGTTTCCCTGGGGAACAAAGTCGTAAAAGCAAAATCTATCTTTTTCAGGAAAAATCAAAGAAGGTATTATCCTATTATTACTAGGATACTAAGTATATAACATCTACAAATATATATATCAAATGAAAGCTATTTTTTCCTATTCGACGATTTAAACATTGTTGTTATGTATTTAGTGTAAATAGTTAAAAATAACTAAATGTACAATACAGTAATTTATTACGATCGTTCCACTGTTTAAACATAATTGCGGACGAAACAGTAACCGCACATTTTGACGATAATTTTGACGAATGTCTAGAATGTAATAATTTATTACCACTATTTTTGCGGAAAGGTTACGATATTGCTGAAATAGAGATATATATCATAAGCATTCTTTACTTAGTATTGTCTTTGATTGACATAACCTTTACACATTTAAAGAAAAAACTTTTTAACCTTCACGGTGACTGACCACGCACGCTGTAAAGCACGCGAAACGTCGGATAAATTTAAAATTATGTTAAATAGTTGTAAATTTATAATAATACATAACTTTAATCCGGTTAAAAAGTTTTTCTTCACTCTTTACTTGTTTTTTAACTGTCGGCGTGATGATATCAATAAATAAATAATATAATTATAATATAATAATAAAAACTTTATTTATGATAAAAGGGGTTTGTGACAGAATCCATATATCGCTAGTCCCCACACTAGGGAGGCCCTGTGTTGTGGGTAACTAGAAAACAATTATTACGTGGTACATGTTAAAAACAGTTAAAAAAAGATAATAATAAAAAAAAATTGAGTGTTTCAAATTAAGTGAATGAGTGAGTGTGAATGGGTGTGTTTGCGCATGTATTTGAGAGTGTAGCTGAAAGTTGTTATGATCGACGATCGTGCACTGTGTCTGTGTTCGTTTTTGAAACCTCAAAATCATAGCAAGATATGTTGTAACTCTGTAGATTCGAAATCCATATTTAATGAAATTTTATTATAAAGGAAAGTATATATAGGTAGATAAATGACAGGTATTTAAAAAAACTTTAAGAATAGTTTGGTTTAGTGTTGTAACCTCTTTAAGAACTGGCAGTAAAAGTAAATTTAAAGATAATTTACCTACATAAATATATTTTGATAGTGCTTCGTATGTGGACTAGAGGAGACTGGAGTGCCTGTGTCAGCTCCGTGTGCTGATGCGTTTGCTGGTGACTTCCTACCCATGGTACCAGTTGACCCGACAGCGCGAGCTCAGATATCAAAGTTTAGAAAGTATTGCAAGTATCAGAATACGTAAGTAGTTTCTACTAAAGTTGGTTAGATTTCTTTTAAATAAAAATATTAAAGAAAATTTGATAAATATAATTAAATCACCTTTTAAGGTCTGGTCCTCAGAGTTATAAATCTGTTTCATGATTTGTCAAGCTAATAGGCAAGTATGAGTAGGTGATCAGCCTCCTGTGCCTAACACACGCCGTCTTCTAGGGTCTAATCCACGATTCCTCACGATGATTTCTTACGTACGAGTGAGTGTAACACACATACGCACATAGAAAGTCCATTGGTGCGCAGCCAGGGTTCTACGACCTCAGGGATGAGAGTCGCACGCTGAAGCCACTAGCTATTTCATAACAGTTCAGGCAGTTAGTTACTGCCTAATTAAAAATAAAGGAACCAGCTGCCCACCGATGTGTTTCCCGTTTTTGGCTTTATCTTTTTCAATCTAATAATATAAATATCCTTTGGCATACACCAATCTTTCATATACATTTCCAAAAAATATTTCAATGTATATTTCAACTTCCAAATTTAATACAGATTGTTGCTGTACTTTTTGACTTTTTTTATGTAAGTGGCGGCAAACGGGCAGGAGACTCACTTAACTTAACCTGATGTTAAGTGATACCGCCGCCGCCCATGGACACTCCATTGCTAGAAGGCTTACAATTAGTGCGTTGCCTATTAAGAATTGAAAGCTCTTGAAGGACCCTAAGTCGAATTGGTTCGGAAATACTTCAATGGGCTAGTTCCATATAATGGTGGTAACCATAAACTGTCTTTAAACGCTCAGTTGTGGTAGGGACGTGTGGAATTTCATATGCCTCGACGTCTGATGAAACTCAGCTGCAGGTCCGAACAACCCTGAACTCTCTCTCAATCATCTTATTGTGGTGGTAAAACTGCACCCATGCTCTGATATTTCAGACGTGGATATAGGTACAATAGCTCCCAGCCTCGGGCCATCTTCGGACGCTGGACTGGTGGATGTGCAGTGAGATGGATTGACTTAAGTGGCATCTACACTCAGAGGACGTGCAGGAGCCGGTACCAGGCCATCATGGGCAAGCATTTTGGCAGCAAGAGGATGGCCAGGTTGGAGATGGCGCTCATGGTGAGTCTGTTTCTTTATGTAGTAAAGATTTTATTTTGTTTATGAATAAAAAAATGTGAATTATCTTTAAAAGCAACTAATAGATAACTCAACTTTACTAAAAACACATACACAACAAAAAAGTTATATATTTTTTTGTTAAAGTTCACCACATATAGTATAATGCTACTCGTATATCTAATATATGTTTTTTAAATGTAACACGGGACAAAAGGCGCCAGCTTTACTCACCTGATGTTAAGTGATACTGCCGCCCATGGACACTCACATTGCCAGAAGGCTCGCAAATGCGTTGCCAGCCTTTTAAGAATTCGTACGCTCCTTTCATGAAGGACCCTTAGTTGAATAATAGACCTAAGTTGGTCATAGAGCGTATTGCTCACCCAGAATAGGAAGAACAGCCTGTGCGTCCACCACCGGGTGCTGAGGGTCCCGGTGGAGGACGCCCAGATGGGGAATCTCAACCGCGGGCGCGTGTGGTACCTGGGGTAGTTTCTGTTACAATCTATCTTTCCTAAAATACCTGATAATTATGGTAAACATAACGTTATAAAATAATAAAATTCCAAGGCTCTTTTTTTGTCAATTTCTGGACGAGACCTCCTCCATCTTCCTCCAGTACGCCCTGCACTGGCGTCTCTGCATCCCCTGGGAGCCAAGTTTCTTGACAACGTCATAGTCCAACTAGTCGGTGAGGGGCCCGCGGTCGTTTGTTCTGCCGAGGTCTTCAATTCAAGGAGCATGCTGGTCCACCGGTTCTTGTCCATGCGCGCTGTGGCCTGCCCACCGCCACTAAGATGTTGCGAGATGCCAAGCATTGCACGCTACATCGCCTGCTGCTCGAGCTCGAGCTCTCGGGCTTTCCGCAGAGTGCGCAGAATAAGAGCAGAAGGTATAGGGTCGAAAATGGCCTGAACTATTTCGAGAAAAGGATAGTTTATTGACTCAAAGGCAGGTTGCAAGGATATATAATTTTCCGTGGAATAAAACAAGAACTGCATATATTTCTTTATTTATACATATACGTAATATGATTTTGCTATCTCAAGTCTACATATATATTAGCTGGAGTATATATTTTTTCTGTAGCACGCTCAAAAACAGGTCAACCGGTTTAGATTACTGTTTTGTTGGGAAAGATATCCGTCAGCGATTATTTGCATGTATTAGGACATTTACCAAGGTGGGGGGGAGGAAAATATTTTAAACAGATATATTATCAAGAAATTGAAGACATGGGTTTTTGAATAATAAATTCACACAATCAATAAACGTCAACAATCTCAATGTCATTTATAAAGTAAGGTGTCGTGTCATTTTATGCGCAACGTAGTACGCTGTGCGTGAATTTAACGGGAATTTTTGGAGTTAATAAAAACCAAAATCACTGTCATTCGTCTCTTTCTACCAAATAACATACGCTACGATGAAAAGAGATAGATAATGATTTATCTGTTACGACTAAGATAGTTTTTTTAGATTTTTACAATATAGGACGACATACTCCGTTTGCATCGGGCCTATATCCTTTGGGGCATTGATTTGGAACGTCTATAATGTTCTTTATAAGTACATTAACATCATCTTCATCAGCAAGGGACGCGGCGAGTTGTCTGAAAAGAAAAATTATCTTTTTTGTCTTGTAAATATTTGCCGATGATTGGAACAAAAGAATTACAATCCGGGGACAACCATGAATATCCTTATGAAACAAAGAGACTTAGTGAACCTCATTATGAATATCGAGTCAGCCTAGTGGCTTCAGCATGCTACTCTCATCCCTGAGGTCGTAGAACCCCAGCTGTGCACCAATGGACTTTCTATGTGCGCATTAAACTTTCGCTCGAAGGAAAGCATCGTGAGGAAACCGGCTTGCCTTAGACCCAACACGACGGCGTGTGTCAGGCACAGGAGGCTGATTGCCTATAAGACAAATGATCATGAAACAGATACAGAAATGTAAGGCCCAGAACTTAAAAGGTTGTAGCGCCACTGATTTATTTATTGTATAATTATGAATATCGCTTAAAGTTTAATAAATAATATTAATAATTATAGAAATTTTGACCGAAAATGATTCCTTCGGACACAACTTTATGATACTAGTTGACCGGCCTAACAGTCAATGAATGTCGTGTTACAGATTAGCTAACTTATTAAGAAAGTAATACAATAAATACAAAATTTATTAATTTCACTGCTTCATTATGAACACAAAAATAAATAGTATTGTTTTATTTATGTAGCTCAATATATTATCCTTACACAATAAATTAACCCACGCGTTATATTGACTCCGTATTAGTAGTAGTAGAGGATCACGAAATAAATAAATATGCCATTAGATATATTGTATATCATCTGGTTGATTTGAAATATTTAAACACGTTCTTTGAGTTACCGTATCGATGGGTTGAACATTAAGTTTGACAGTTACTTAAACTGAAAGTTTAACAACATAACTTGTAATAAAACAAGTCTCGCAACGCAGTTCTTATACCGTAAAAAGTCGGTTAATTCAGTCCCTACTTGAGGGACCTTCTGTCTTAACTTATTACGTAAATAGCCTATACTAACGACGAAATTGTATTCTAAATGAAGATCTGAAGTGTCTGCTAGAAGTGCCTTAGAGTTTTGGTGGTCGGTTAGTCAGTGAGTGACAAAATTAAGAAACTTTGACTAGTTAAAATTCCTAAACTACTAGATCAAATTGAATGGAATTTCCAATATACCGTGTTTATGCCTACAATGGCTGCATTAGGCTTCTAGTTTTATCCACAGCGAAGTTAAAATCCAGCCATTCTCGAGTTGTGTCAGAACAAACCCGAGACTATACTTTTAATATATATATATCTGTATTATTACATATTACTATCTTAGATATTATCTTTTTCCAATTATTGTAAAAATCGCAAACGCAAGGTTGATATGAATTTTTTTCGAAATGGTACTTAACCTTATTAAGATCGCTATGGTTATCGATAGTTTTTTTTTTTATATAAGGGAGCAAACGAGCCTACGGGAGAGCCCAAGGACACCCATTTTAGTAGGTGCCTTTTGAGAACTTCTATCCCTATAAATTAAAAAAAATAGTGTTGGCCTTGTTGCTTGATCGACTCTCATCTGAGGCCAAGGGAAGGTCGTTTACTTAAGAAACAGATCCATACATTACATACCCAGACCAAAGGCTGAATGTTTTTTTGGATATTATCAGGAAACATACCTGAGCCAGATATCGCGACACACGCCATTGATTAATTGCTGTCCTTCCTTGCAGTTTGGTGGTACCACAATTGTGTTTTTGTCTTTGTGATCCTCAGGAATTCTAAAAGGTAAAAACTTCTTTACGCGCGTGAGGGAATAGGGGCAAGGCTATTCCCTCACGCCGTAAAATTGCAACAAAACATTTAATGCACGGGATTTAATGAATCCAGAGGGATGTTTAGTCCCGCGCGAGATACTGGAGCAGTCTCCGTCATAAGCAAAAGGCAAACAGCCTTAAAATCTCTTTCCCCGTACTAGACTATCTAAAGTTAGGAATTTTTTTTTTGGAAAAAGGGATACTCTTCTTTAATAAAATCCCAGAGGCTCTTTTATCTCTGCCTTTTAATAAATTTAAAAAATGTGTTAAAGAAAAGCTGTGTAAAAAGGCTTATTATAAAGTTAACGATTATCTAGTTGATAAAAGGGCCTGGGACTAGTGCTAGACAGTCTACTTCTAATTGATTTGCGATATTAGTTTTAAAATAAGTGTTGTTTGATGATTTTCTATTTTAAAAGAGTACCTACCGAGAGTTTTTTACGCCGGCTTTTTCTCTCGGCCTCACCCTACACCTTACACCCTCTGTCTTCTTTGCCGATTAGTAAGGATGCCTACAGATACAAATTTAATGACGTGGAAAAAGTGATCATACCTGTATCTTATGTTCCACAAAAAACTTTTTTTTTAAAATATTAAAATTGAAAAAGTGAAAAGAAAAATTTCAACGACAGGTGTGTTTCGTTGTGATGATATGAGTGTGTTATGGTATGTGTCCATATAACCAATTCTGTCAAATTTATTATGCAATACGTTCTATAGCTAAATAAGGCTTATGAAACTATTCTATCTCTATCCAATTCCAAAAGCAAGTGATCCAAAAGCAGTGGGTTCAGCGTGCGACTCTCTTCCTGAGGTCGTAGAACCCCAGCTGTGCACCAATGGACTTTCTATGTGCGCATTTTAACGGCCGAACGGTGAAGGAAAACATCGTGAGGAAGCGTGCCTTAGGCCCAAAATGGCGTGTGTCAATTAATCCATTGTTTCATTAAAAAGTGATTATGTATAAATATAGAACATTATACTAACACTGCTCGTGGTGCTGGAGCCAGATTCCTCCAAACATCCCGGCACACGCCGTTCACCAATACTTGGCCTTCTTTGCAGTTGGGTGGAACTTTTATGACGCTTGGTTGGTTACCTCTGAAATATTTACAATTTCAATCGTTTAATAGTTTATTTATGTAACAGTGGGCATACGGGAAGGAGGCTCACCACCGCACCTGGTCACTCACATTGCCAGAAGGCTCGCCAGTGCGTTGCCGCCCTTTTATTGATACGCTCTTTTCTTAAAGGACTTTAAGTTAAATTGGTTCGGAAATACTTCAGTGGGCAGCTGGTCCACATAGTGGTGGTGCAAAAACTGCCTTAAAAAACGCTCAGTTGTATCATGAAACAGATACAGAAATCTGATGCCCTCGAATGGGTTATAGCATACTGTTTATATATATATATTCAATATAAATAGATACTAACGCTGCCCTAGGTGCTGGGATCTGGTACCAAATATCTCGGCACTCGCCATTGACAAGCTCTTGACCTTCTTTACAGTTGGGCGGAACGTTTATGACATTTTGTTGGTCGGCTCTGTAATCAATTTTTAATCGTTTAATACTGAAATAATTACAATAAAACAGTGATGAAAAATACTCCAAGATCGAAACCCCTCAAACCGAGTGTACAACAAAGACTTTGGAGGTTTTTAATCGATATTTACAGAAATTTAACACAAAACGACAACGTCCCAACTCCCAAGTAATTTGTCGATGGGGACAATGCATTGTATTCTAAAGCACATACAAATTATTGTGATGCGGTGAACATTATGAACAACTCCATAGAGACCTTTTAATTATTTTCTTTATTCCTACTTAATTATTTATTTATAATGTACTCGTATATTTGGATGCTTGGCGGACCCATGCGAATTCGACGAAGAGTCCCCTCTTGAGTGTGCTGCGATATTGCGGGGTACTGCATGGATCTGTCTGGCGTCTTCATAAGTTCTCATGTCATTTTAACATGTGTGATATGTGAGAGCAAAAATAAAATAAATAGATATAATTAAAGTAATAAATCTAGGGGGAAATATAGCAAATACTAAGTTCGCGGGATTAGATTTTTATCAGAAGAATTCAATAGGAATTAATTTTCCCAATCAATTGAAATGCCATTTCTCGGTTCCAGTACCCAAAACACCACCTCAGTTGTTTTTGTTAAGTGTTTTTTCGAATAAGAAAATGATTTCACGCTTTTATGCAATAGACATCATCTTGTTCGGACCCATGGCAAAAGCAAAAATCGCGAACCCAGCTGATCAAAAATTCTTCGAAACAAGCAGAGGTCTAGTCTGAGGTAGAAGAAACTCTTAGTGTAGCGTGTGATTCCTCCAAATCTTGCTCTTATCTTAAAGCAAAATATCGCGCAAAACACTCTTATATCGAGATACCACTGTAGTCCAGGGCCGCGCCGCCCCTATGTGCGAAGTGTGCGGTGCAGGGCGCTTATACAATAACATATATTCTTTGTAGAGGAGTATCTGTAAGTAAGTAGGTGCAATAGGCGTAAATTTAACTAACAAAACATATATTTCGCTTATTGTACACGTCCCCAAGATAACATTTACCTTTGTGGTTTAATTTCATTATTTGTCTGTCTTTTTTAATAAGATGATGACGCCGAGGCTACGTCCGTTCCTCTCCCTGAATAAGCAAGCGTAAGCGAAACTATTTAGGGAAATATAATCTAAGTATATAAAATACGTTAGAACATAAAGAAAGGCTCTGCCGGGGGACGGTGTACTCTGAATCTAGCTTCTATATATTTCCCCAGACACGAAAGTCAAAGTGTCATAAATACTTAAGTGAATATAATAATAATAAAATACTAAATATGCGATAAAATACTTATCATAATCAGACATAATTATTGCAATATGATAAGGCCTTTAATGACTAAAGGCGAAGTTTTTGTTGCACAAACAGATTAGAAACACAAAACATTTATTAAACATATATTTTAAAGCTTATGGCTCCTCACAAGAGGTTTGCATTACACCGTATTTACCATGGAGAGTGTTCAGAGGAGTTGTTCCGGTTAATACCTGCAGCTGAGTTTCATTCGGACGTCCGTCTTTCCACAACTGAGCGTTTAAAGGCAGTTTTTGGGCACCACCACTATGTGGAACCAGCCCATTCATGTTAAGTGATACCACTGCCCATGGACACTCACATTGCCAGAGGGCTCGCGAGTACGTTGCAGGCCTTTTAAAAATTGGTACGCTCTTTTCTTGAAGGACCCTAAGTCGAATTGGTTCAAAAATACATTGGTGGGCAGCTGGTTTCACATAGTCCAAGGTTCGCGGAAAAAACGTTTAGTTGTGGAAACTCTGCTGCAGGTATTAATCCGAAGTCCGAACAACTTTTCTGAACACTTTCAATGGTAAATGCGGTAGAAGATGCAGAGTGACCCCACATCTCTACGTCTTCGAAAAGAGGAGTGACATAGGGTGTGTGGGTGAGTGTGAAGATTGTTAGTGATTGTATAAATCAAGAAAGTGGTTAAAGAAAGAGCCTCTGATGGAGATAAAGCGTTGTGCGTTTCTTTGATAGCGATAGGTTTGATTTAGTGTGGTCGGTGTTTGTTTCTAAAAAGTCTTCTTCTATTAGGTATCTGTTACTGTAGTCTATCCGTTAAGTTTCATTTTATGGTACAATTTTGAAGTTAAATAGAAAATGTATCATAAAAATGGCACGTTGGTCAACATTAGAAGAGTATTAGGAAGAAAAGGCTGATCACCTAATATTCAAACAAAAATTACCACATGCACTCCCAGTAAGGATAGTGAACCCGACAGAATACTGGCGCAGGCAAGAATCTGGGCATCTGTTTAGTCCTTCTTAAAGGAAATTTCTCTTCTCTTCTTAATAGCTTGTGTCAATTAGCTGTCTCGAATAACCATTAGCTAGATGAGCAACAAATTTGTGTCATTTAAATAGTAATAATAATAAATCGTTTTTTATATAACATGGCGCATACAGAGGGCTCATCTGATGTTATGTGATACCGCCCATGCCCACTCTCAATGCCAGAGGCTAAAATTTGGCACGCTCTTTGAAGGACCCTAAGTCGAATTGATTCGGAAATCATCAACTGGTTCCACATAGTGGTGGTAAAAGCTACCTTAAGCTCTCACCACCACTATGTGGAACTGCTCAGTGGTTAAACGTCGAGGTGAAATTTCGCATATAACACAATAAATTATACCTAAAGCTATCACGCTATCCAGTAAAAAGTGAACAAAAATAACTCACTCTTGTCCCTGACGCCAGACGTCCCGACAGATTCCGTTAATCAACTGTTTAGGTGGAAGGCAGTTTGATGGTGACGTGATGATGTTATTACTATCGATTTGCCCATGGGCAAATGATATCAAGCAAACAAACGCTAGAGGTATCATTGTTAATGCACTGAATCAAATGAAACGCTTAATATATGATTGAGTAATCAATTTTAATCAGTTTTGATTAGATTACATTGTTGTATTGTAATAAAATTTCTCATTGGTCTAGTTGTTAAGATAATAAAATAAATCAGTGGAGAGTTATGTTTGGTGGCGGTTGTTGTATGGATATGTTCAAATGAAACACTTTGTTTGAAGCTGGGTAACCACTGGCTTTAATTATTTAAAACGTGATAACATTAGGGGTGGTGGGGTTGCGACGCTGGATTAATTAAGAAGAAAGTCTATTGGTGCACAGCCTGGGATCGTACCTACGACCTCAGGCAGCCAACATATAACATATACTAAATCCATTTATAAGTCAAATTAGTTATTTGTTAATCCATCGTCGCAACCCCTCTAATGATATCTTTGTTATAAGCTCATGTTTTAAAAGATTAAAGCCAGTTGACACCAAGCTTCAAACAAAGTGTTTCATTTAACATATATCTGAACATATCCATACAACAACCGCCACCGAACTTCATTCGCCACTAATTATTTTTATCATACATCTAATCTGGCGTACATGAAAAATTATTACGCTTTTGACCTGAACAATCAATTCAATAACAATAAAACACCAATCTTTAAATACCAATAGATACATAGTTTTTTTTTGTAGTTGTATTTATCCTAACTTCCTTTAGTACTATTGATCGGAGCCCCTTCAGGTAAAGGCCTCCGCCAGCTTTTTCCAAATTTCTCAATCTGGCTTGCTTTCTTCCTCCATTCCCTTCCTGGTAACACTTCTATCTATAAATGAGAGAGACATAACAACATTTATTGTTATAAAACATCTTAAATACTACTTACACCTATTCACATATATATTATTTAGTTACTTGAACATGAAAAACTGTCCAGGGGTTTTATATTAGGTTCCAATTTGGTTAGCTTTATCTAGATTTTGGTTGCCCCCTTAACAATCAAATGTGGGGCGCGAACCCCATATGAAAAATTAACTGTACCTACCTATATATATTAAGGTGTCCCTTATTTTTCAAAGTTTATATTTTTTATGGTTATGGTTTGTGGACTCAGTTTCCGCACTTAGACGCTCATTAGGTCCATTGTACGTAAAGTCCTGGCTAACTAAGCCAGCCTAGCTCCTTCCAAAAGCACAGAAGCTTCCTGGGCACTTCTCAGGCTTCACCGAGCGACCTCACTGTTCCGAGGATTTCTGTACGTTATTTAGCCACAGCCTCGCATTCCAGGACTACGTGGGTGACTGATTCCTGTGCGTTGAAACAGCCTCTGCACATGGGGCTGTCTGTCGCGTCTAGGACATAAAGATGTTTATTAAGGAGACAATGGCCCGTAATTGTACCTATCATTGTTTTGAGATTAGTTCTGTTTAAGTTTAGAAGTTGCTTTGTCATTTTTGGGTTAGCTACTGGCAGAACCATTTTGGATTGCCTGCAGTCCGCACTTAATGACCAACGTTGGTGCTGGAGTTCCTCAGATCTCTGGCGAATCTATGTTCGCACTTGCGAGAAGGGCAAGGGTAGGAGTGGATACGGGCCGGCAGGCAACATTTCCGAGCCTCGCAAGCTCATCGGCTGCATCATTGCCGAGAGATCCACTGTGTCCCTTAATCCACTGTAGGGTAACTCTGTTTGTCAGAGCTATTGCCTCCAGTGCATTTTGACACTCTAGTACCAGTTTACAGTTTGTCATTTTGCTTACTAACGCCATCAGCACAGACGCGCTATCGGATACGAGCTTAATAGAAAAGTTATTAACTCCTAACCGCTTTACGGATCTGGCTGCTTCGGTTAGGGCGACACACTCGCGTTGAAAAATCGAGCTGTGTGTGCCTAGACATAGGTGTGTATTGATGTTGATCCAGAGAGAATATGCCAGTGCCGGAGCCACGCCCTGTTTTTGAGCCATCTGTACATATGCGTAGCTCATTCAATTTCGTTATTGCCGTTTGGAGTTCTGTTCTTGGCCACCAAACCAGGGCTCCATAATTGGCCTGATTACGGCAGTGTAAAGCCATAACGTAATCTTAGACGATAAGCCCCATTTGACGCCTAGCATCTTTTTTACATTGATAAAAGGCGATCGTTGCTTTATTTAGTTTATGTTCAAGGTGTTTGTTCCAAAGCAGTTTGCTGTCTAGAATCACACCTAAGTACTTGACGTTTTCCTTTAGTTTTAATTCAGTGTTGAAGAGTTTTGGTAGCCTGTACGGAGAACTCTTCGGTTTGTAAATAGGACTAGTTCCGTTTTTGATGGGTTGACAGATAGCTCGTGCTGATTGCAACATCTCTCAATTACTCTGAAAGCCCTTCTCATGAGATCACATTTCAAAATTCCCCGATGCTAGGATAGCTATGTCATCCGCATACCCTACTGTGTAAGTTTATATTTTTTAACGCTTATTTTTGTTCATTTGTACCTAAAACACTCGGGAATAAATTTTTACCTTATTTGGAGAACGATAACTCGACTTGCATCGAATCATGTTCATAGATACGCGGAAAAGCGGCGCGTACTCGCCGTATTTTTCATTTGTTCTCAGTTAGTCTCGTGATTAATACGTATTATTAATTAAATAATTAATAATCTTTAAGAAGCCATAAAGAAATTATTTTATTTTATTTATTAAGTTGATGACGTGAACTATTAAATAACTGGAGCAAAGCTACCGTCTAACCGTCAAGTTCTTACCATTCGCTTTTTTAACATTCGAGTTAAATTGACTGTTAATGAAAGCACATCCCTACCAGAGCTAACCCTAACTGTGTAAAAAAACTGGATTTTCACCATATTTGGAGAGAGTTAGAAACGCATTCGCACAAATATTAGAAAAGATAGAGTGAAATCTATAAAATCAGATTTTCAGAATAATTTGCATGGAACTGTGACCGTTTACTGGGATGGGAAATTCTTACCTAGACCTACCTTCTTAGCTAGACAGGGAATTATTACTCTTTCACGTTTACGTACTAATTTTTAAAGTGTGAATTCGACCCACGACCACAAATTCACAAATAGCCCTGATATCCTGATGTTTAAAAAGTTTAAAGACAACTAGAATACTATTAATTCTGCTATTATTGAAACACACAGCGACATCATAAGACCTCCTGGAGCAGTGCATTAAGCAAGGTGGTTGACTAGAGCTATTTACTCTTTGAAAATATGTTGCAATCTCAATTAAATATTACCGCTAAAGATAAGCGAGCACCCTAAGACGTTTGTCTATTCATTGCAGTTATATATGTGAACTCATTCATGGCTCGGCTGTAGTCTGGTGGTGAAGGCATTTAATCAAGAGTTGTGTTTTTTTAAAAGGCTTAGGGAATATAAAACTATTAACAACGAGATCTCCAAAGCAGTCCTAAGAAAGTTTAGTCAACATATTTGGTACTTGTCTGAAGAAATTACTATTTTATCACTCTTTAATGAAGAAACCAAGAGAAGTATCGTAGAGAACTTACAAAGAGATAGTTTGTATGATTGTGGGAAGAGATACATTCCATAAAAAGAAGATGTTTGATTATTTGTATGGTAAGTTTAATCACTAACATAATACATAGTTTTATGTTAGAGTTAGCTATTAGTAACTATTTTTTTTTAAAAATCATGGAAAAGGAGTTTACGCTAAGCACTTTACAGAAATAAATATTCATTTATCATGTGTGTTTTATTTTTACCATTAAGTGATTTTGTGTCTGTCAAGAGCAGAAATTTTTTTTCTCGTTTAGAAATGGATGAAAACTTCTTGAAGTATTTCTACCCTATTTCTACGTTGGAAGAGGTTGCCTATTTACAGGCAAAAAGAAAGGTTATTTCTTTATAGGCAGTGACTTATACAGCTAAAAGAGCTGTAAAACTTATGCAAGATTTTCATGGTTTAATCATTGCATTGCATAATATATAAATATAATATAATAAATTCTTATATATTTAAATGTATGTTTCTGTCTTACGAATTTTGAATAATTCCTCCAAAACCAATGTTCTAAAATCTTGAGAAATGTCGTTTGTCACAACATCCTTTCAAGAGGCATAATTATGCTGTAATAGCAAATAGGTAACTGCCATTAATCAAATGAAAGAATTTTTAGAAATGGTTTAGTGTTAGATTTATCTAGCCAAACATAAAACCTTCTCATCGTTTCTGTGTCACAAAAGCTAGGAGTGTCGAAAGAAATGTATCTAGTTCTTAGCTTGCGCAATAGATGGCGTGATTCAAATTTATTCGCACGCGTTAGATACTGTACTGATATACTGTCGAGAGGTGCCCACAGTTGTAGACTTATTAAAGTTCGTTATTTGACCGAATGATGACGCGAATCAAAAGTAGAACGATGAAACTGGATGTGAGGAAGTTTAGTTAGTTCATTAGTTGTTGGCGCTAAATAAATGGAGAAGAAAACTGCCAAAGTTTGCCGCTAGTAGCGCTGGTATCGCTTGACTCATAACTAATGTAAACAAACGTCAGGTGGCAGATTTATTTAAGCAATATCTTCCAGCTACCAGAGTGATAATAGATAGTACAGAAATACCCATATCAAAACCAAAAAACCCAAAAGCACAACAAGCAACATTTAGCAGCTACGAACACTATTAAATTCTTGGTGGGCGCTACACCTGGTGGCCTGATATCGTTATTTTTAAGATGCTTGCATGTCCATCTTTATGTCATTTATCATTTATCGGTCATTTATCAGTGACCGCCAAATAACAGATAGAAGTTCCCTTTTAGCTGTTATTGATGAAAAATATGCAATAATGGCTGACCTTGGATTCAATTGTGGGCGCTCGTTACTATATGAGACACTGTATTTTTTTAAGTTTAATTAAATTTAGTTCGCTGCATTTTTTGCGTGGGGTCATGAATAACTGTATACTATTTATAAGATTTATCAAACTTAAAACAGTATTACGACTGTTTCTCATTTTAAATTGCCATGGGTGATGTAATTTTTTTCAAAGTTTTT